GCCGCGCCTGCGCACCAGCGGCGGGCCGGCCCGGCCGTGGCTCCGATGCGGGGCGGGGAGCGGCTGTGGCGTCCCGCGACCCTGGTCGGAAATGGGCTGTGCTCGGACGTGCTACCGCCTTTTTCGGCGCCAGGGAAGGCTTTTCACCGCCAAATGCTGCTGGAAAGAGTGTCTCAGAATTAGGTCCTAAATACCTGAGAGATCGTAGAGTCCAACCTGTGACCCAACACCACTTCGTGAACTAGACCATGGCACTGAGTGCCACATCCAGTCTTTCTGTAAATATCTCCAGGGACAGTGACTCCACCACTTCCCTGGGCAGCCCATTCCAATATCTAATCACCCTTCCTGTTAAAAAAGTCTTCCTAATACCCAGCCTAAACCACCCCCAGCATAATTTAAGACTATGTCCTCTCATTTTGTCAGTAGTTCCTGGAACAAAAGACCGACCCTTGGGTGGCTACAGCCTCCTTTTTGGTAGTTATAGAGAGCAATAAGGTCTCTCCTGAGCCTCCTCCAGGCTGAACACCCCCAGCTCCCTCAGCTGCTCCTCACAGGACTCGTGCCCCAGACCCTTCCCCAGCTCTGTTGCCCTTCCCTGGACTCGCTCCAGCCCCTCAGTGTCTCTCACAGTGAGGGGCCCAGAACTGGACACAGCACTCCAGGTGTGGCCTCAGCAGTGCCCAGTGCAGGGGGACAATCCCTGCCCTGCTCCTGCTGGCCACACTACTGCTGACACAGGCCAGGATGCCACAAAGTTTTGACAAAACAAAGCACTGAGTGAATTTTCTGTGTCACTGTTCTCCATAAGGAATCCTAAGGAGGCATTCCTGAAGAATTTTAGTTTGCAGGAAACTAAACTTTGATGTTTCCAGCATCAGAGAATTACTTGTCTCTCAACTCTCTGGTAGCCCAAACTGCAGTGTATGAAGTGGGAAAACAAATGTGAAAAACAAAGTCCACTCTTTAGAATTTTTAAAAGTTTAATAAGGGAATAAAAAGGGACAATGTCCAGTGCTGTGATGTTTCTGGCTATTGGTCAGAGAACACACCAGCAGATTAAGACATCTATATACTGTTACATTACAGAGGTACATGCATATTCATGTGTATAATACATTATTCAAACATTCTTGTAAGCTTTTTGATGTTTCAGGAACTCTTTTGTTTGGTTTTACACTCTGATTTACTTGCATG